CCCCAAAACCCCAAAACCCCAAAACCCCAAAACCCCAAACTAACATTAAGGAGTTGAACTTTAGTTCTTGTAATAAGCCATGTTTTGATGAATGTCAAACCGGTGGTCATTCTCATACATCTCTTCTCTTTGCCTCTGCTGCTCTTTGTCAAGACTTTTCATCCTTCTTTTCTTGCTGTGATCTCTTGGAACATCATTTGTTGCCATCAATTTGGGCATTCTGCTTGGCTCTCATCCTTTTGGATATTCTTTAAACCAAGGATGGTTTAATGCATCTTTTGCAGAGATTCTTTTATCTGGATCATATGTTAGCATTTTCAGCATCAGATCTAATCCAAGATCAGAAAGATACATATCATTCTCCTCGAGTGCCATTTTTGGAAATTTATCTCTCAGTTTATTTTTTGATCCTTTCTTTCCTGGTTGGATTAATTTAGCATGTTTCAAACTTCTCCATCCTTTCCAAGTCTCTTCTGTGGGAATACTCATAATTTTAAAAATTTTATCAATCTGTTCAAGCTCATTAGTTCCCATGAAGAGGGGTTCTTTAAGAAGAAGTTCTGCCATAATTCACCCAACACTCCACATATCAACTGCTCTTCCATCATATTTTTCCTTACCGAGTAATATTTCAGGAGCCCTGTACCAGAGAGTTACTACTAAGTCTGTGTAAGGGGTAGGAGGGTCTGAAAACATTCTAGCAAGACCAAAATCACAGATCTTTAGTATCCCATTGTTGCTAATAAGAAGGTTACTTGTCTTAAGATCTCTGTGAATAATCCATTGTCTGTGCATATGTTCAACTCCTTTCAAAAGTTGTTCCATGATTCACTTAATCTCAACGGTAGAAAGCATGTATGAACTTTGGGAATGCTCTCCTTTACTCGCAAGCATCATTGCATCATAGCTCTGTTGGATCAAGCTTTTTATCTCATGGTCGACATATTCTAAGACAACATAGACTTTATCTAAGGAATTGCCAAACACAACTTCTTTGACTTGGCAGATATTTTCATGCCTGATTTTCATCATAAGTACGATTTCTCTTAAAGCAGTGATTGGGAATCCTTCCTTTTCTCTTTCAAGTTTGACCTTCTTAATTGCGTAAATTTTACCTGTATCTTTCTCTCTAGCTCTGAAGACGATACCGTAAGATCCTTCGTCGATTTTATTAAGTGGCTCATATTCTTCTATAGATCTGCAACCATCAAGGAGGGGGTTCCATTTCCTCTTCTCTATCTGAGGAGCTGCAGAAATTACTTCTTCAATTTTAGTTTCTTCAACAGGCATCTCTGGTTTGGGTGAAGGAGGAGCTGCGGTTGTAAACCTTGATTTTCTTTTACGACCTCCTCTTCTAGCTTCTCTCTTGAGCTTTCTATTGTATCGTTCAAGTTCATACTTCATGTCTTCACTCATGGGAAGGCAGAGAATGGGGTTTCCTTTATTTTCTTCAAATTCTATCGCATCTAGCCTGTCTTTTTCAGCAGCTAGTCTTTCTAAGACCTGTTGCCTAGTTTCTTGTGCAATAGTCTTAGATTCAATTAGATCTTTAGATAAAAAGCTATAGGACATCTTTGACAAAAGATTTTAAATTCCAATATATCGAATAATTTAGGGGTTTTGGGGTTTTGGGGTTTTGGGGTTTTGGGG